GCCACTTCCACACGGTAACTATGACTCATATGGACTGGACTGATTAAACAGTCAATTCGCAAACAAACAAATAGTCAATGAACTCGTTCGAACACAAATCTTACACAAAAAAAACATTATAAACAAAATGATCACTATAGAAGTCACATGTCCCATCCACGCTCAACGAAACGAACATCTCTGAATGCTCCATCTACGCCTATCTAGATCGTGAAATCAACATGATGAACGACCAAGCCTCAGGATTGAGCAGGAGGAAACGAGCTGCTTGAGGAGCTTTTGATAACATCGCAGATGCCGTGAAGAGGACGAAACACATCCGAATCCTTGCCCACATTTTTCGATTCAGCGATTATTCCGGCCCTACGTATGCAGCAGAAATTTGGTCGCTTGTAAGCAGGATGAAAGATCACTTGGCGTTATTGAGCGCGAAGTCGGAAGGTCAATGCTAGGAGTACCCCGTATCTCGCAAATACGAGAAAGGATCCGAAGTTCCGACCTACGTCAACGATCAAAAATCAGAGACTCCGTTCTACACGGCAGGATATCAAAAATAAAAAGGTCCGGACAGATTCGCTTCAACGACAACCGATGGACGAAAGCCGTTACCGGCTGGTTTCCCCGAGATATCAAGCGCTCCACAGAAAGACCACTAATCCGATAGTCCGATTCCTTCACGAAGAGTCTGGAAGAAAGATATGACACTCAGCAAATCCCTAGAGCGAGGAGGACCTAATCACTCGACGATCAACGGGACGAAGGTGATAGATGACACAGGTGATAGAAGTCATGCCAGCGGTTATATCAGATCACAAATGAGAATGAGACCTATAAGGTCACGTCATCACGTCATCGTCACCGTATTAACTGCTTACCATTACAACTGTGCTGGAGACTAGCAACAACAGAAACAAACGTTACTAAGCGAAGCAATTCTGTAGATATCTTTACTTCTTCCAATTGCAGTGAGAGGAATAAAATAAAAGATTTAACGACGAAACTACCCTTTACTTTCTCACCAAATCTGGAAACCTTTCCATAATCAGGGCGACAATAACTGGAGGCGTTCCGTGGCTAACAAAAGTTGTCACACTCGATATGAAACACTTCAAGCCATTTCTTTTGTTCGAGTCAAATAACGAAGGTATTCCATCTAGTCGGTAGAATGTCAACAAGCACCAATCTTCTTGCCAGTCAAAGTTGCATAGCAACTGAGTACCTCTACCATTGACGCTCACCGCTGGAAGATGTATAATCCAGTGGTTGTTTAAGAGATTAATCCGGCTATTCACTCCTTATAGCTACAAGAGAAACTGCTACCACTTATTAGACTGCAAAATCTTTTTGCAAGCCGTTATTATTCAAATGAAGGACAATTAATACCAATGATGCCGCTCATTTATGCTAACTTCTAAACTTCCCCTTCTATGCTATATGTTGTGCTCCTAACAACCATGCTCCCTCGATAGAGGTCAAGAAGATGCAAGGCAGAAAAGTTGAAGAGATCCCTAAGTACGGAATCACAAATAGATAACAGAAACGTGAAGTGCATTAAAAAGTTTTCGTGAAAATGAGATTAGTGCATTAAAAACATCTGAGACTGTGTAAACAATTGAAATAAAAAAATTCATTTGAAGAAATGCCGTCAATATCTTTGAAAACAAACCGTGTTACTAACACTCATAATGAACAAAGTCGAAATTCCCTGCCATTATATTAGGTCGTTCCATAAGTTTTGCCATTGGACCAATAAACACCAAATCTATTGACCAGAAGTAATTATAACTGCGTGATTTTGGTATCGTTGAATTGCGCGTTTTCTTGCGAACATTTTGGTATATGATTTGCCTATATGTGCTTTGAGATGAAGCTGTCTTGGGAACAAATTCGCTTGCTTTTTGTGCACGAATGGCGCGAAGGATAAATGCTCTTGAAGCGGAGCGCAAGATTGATTGAGCTACCTGCGGACGACCCAAATGCGACTGATCCTTCAGAGTGCTCCCTCTCTCTACATTTGAACTTCACGAACCATTACCTTTCTGCAACCCTATCATCGCCCAAGGTTGATTAATCTTGCGTTCCACTTCACTAGCATTTTTCCCTACGCCAATCGTGCATGAGCAGCAAGCGAATTTGTTTCCACGATAGCTCGATCTCGAAGCAAATATAGGCAAGTTATATACCGAAATGTTCGTAAGAAAATGCACAATTAAACGATAGCAAAATCATGCAATTTAAGTTACTTATGGTTAATAAATGTGGTACTTATTGCATAAATTTATGCAACGACCTAATAATCAGAAAATATTCAAGCGAAAGTCTAGCGCACTTGTTCGCCCTCAGAATTGCCGTAGACTGATATCTACGCTGCAATAAAAACTACGTAAAATTCTTGACGGAATAGTTGAGTCGCGATCATCAGCACAAAGATGGGCGTGGTTCCAGAGCTGCATAACACGGCAGTCAAACTTTTCTAAATCATAGAGTAAAAACTACTTTTGAAAACCACTTTCTGAATAGAAGGATATCCCATGACAGTACTGAACGGTCATCCAATCCCAAAAAAAAGAACACGAACCGAGGCATATTCATGAATGTCGACGGATTTCCCTGTCGAAGTGCTCCACAGCTTCACCACGAATGTCATGTTACGGGGCTCACTGGTAACATGTCCGAGTGAAATTCTCTTGAAGATCCTGTACATTAGCCTACGCAAGGTGAAAGTAGAGTGGAGGTAGCACCATCCACCTCTTAAGCAAACATTGTCGAGAACGAATACAGCGTTACACAGGTTGAAAACGAATGCCATCATTGACGAAGCGCATGTGTCCCACATTGATAATGATACCATGCCTCATCACAGAAATATTTGTCCTACATATTGAAGGGAGGACAAGTTTCAGATATTCAAACTGCGCATTTAAACTAGCTGCAGAGTTATTTACAGAAGAAGTTATCACAGTCCTCTGTGTGGGTGACAACACTTTTTACATTTGACTCGTTTGTTCGGCTTCATCCTCCACGAAGATCGAATAGTTCGCGTGTTGCCTTGACTTGTTTGAGGAATTCGTTTTCTTTATAAACGTCTTAGAATGCTCATCGAGACAGCTCTCCTCGCAATCTTGGAGTTAGTTGAGATGAAGCGCTCCTTGCCTCCGATGATGTGAATACCGGCAATATTTCAGAAGACAAGTTGAAATGCTTAGAGCATAGTCCGTAAAATTTCCAAGGCGTTTGAGTATCAAACAGTGTCTCAATTGTACAACAGGGTTTTGGAAAAAAAAAGTTGAATCCATAGACGACTGCGAAGTTTCGATATCGCTTGCTGAGCAGTGCTTCTCTGAAAGACTTCAACGCTGTCCTTCCTGCACTCAGTCTTCTGTTCACTTGCTTCTTTACGCTGATTTCACTCTGGGCACATATAAGGTGACCAATGTAGCCATAGAATTCAATCCGTTCACCTTCACCATTCGTTTTAAGTGAGCTCGACTTTTTTAAATCTTTCCAAGATCCATCCTTTTCGCTTCGATAAAATGTCTAGGCATCATTCATATTATAGTGATATTTCTCCAAAGGAAGGCAAGGAAAGCGGAAACATGGCATGGATTTTTTGTCGATCTATAAAACAGGCGATGGTGCGAGTTCATTGACTTTATTCACGGCTCACAAAGTGACTTCCGAGTTCTGATGAAGTAATATGTTCTTTATGGGCGCATCAGATACCAAATAAATCTAAATTTAGAAGGAGGTTCTTGCAGAAACAGGTCAAGTTGAAAGCGCGGCGGTTGCTCCCAACTACGATCCTTGCTGCACCAAATGATTGTACAGAACACCTTGACCAGCGCACACTGGATTTCTAAAAGCGCCATGCAAATATTCACTCTTTGCTGCCATCTCCACTGACGGCCAGTGGTGTAGTGCATAACAGGTGAACCCTTGTAGGAGATATTCTCAGGTTCGAAGCCAGCCGATGTCGCAAGCTTCACTCATATTTCAGCGTCCATGCGGTTGTTTACTCCGCTGTTTCCTCTACAACTCCTCTGTTCAATCGCACATGTTTTAAAGTCGTACGATGCAACCTGCTGACAGGAATAAACCATGGTTGTAATATGTACAAACCTCACTACTATACATTTAAATCGACAAATAAGTTTATCAGACCACATGTGTACTAGTAAAAGTAAGTAGGAGGATCCAATCTGCAGCACTAAATCATTACTACACCGAGTTTATTAGGCGACTTGACCGACATTCCCTTTCGGGGGCTCTTCGTGAGTCCATCCGGTTAGCACACGGCGCGGAAAGGGTAAAATGCCGGTTGGATTCCCGTCCAAGGTTCAAAGTTTTGCACATCCCTGAACATCATCTGATAGCCACAAGCAACCAAGAAAGCCTATCGAGCCAAAAGTAGGGCAATCGATCGGAAAAAAAGATACCAACCTCGTGATGCCTAAAATAAAGATTAGTTCTTGAGCTATCGTTCTCATTTTCACAGTTTCATATTATTAACACGCCGAGGTAAAAAAAGTCTGCCTTTCGAGTTGTTTTATTATCGAATATACATTTCTAACACCATAACACCGCCCAAAGCGGTTCAGAAGAAAGACAATATCCAATATGTGCCAGCGTGACTGGGTTCAATGTCAATATCGACTACCGGGCCAAACCGATGACGGTTGGTTGCTGACAGATAGATGCGTTATAGCGTAGAACAAGTGGTGGTAAAAACTAACGTCGGTAGTGCAATTGGTTAAGTTCGCGTTTTCGGAAAGGTGAAATGCGGGTTCGGATCCCGTCTGACATCAAAGTTTTGCACATCACTTAACATCGTTGGACATATTTGTAACATAATTACACCGGTAAAAAATGGTCAAATGGAAAGAAATTGCAAAAATTCAGCCACAGACGGGAGTTGAACCCGCAATTCATACATACGGGGAACGCAGTCACTGTTTACTCACATCTCATTTCTTGATATATATTATAACAATCAGCCACCAATCCCAGTGGTGTAGCGGTAGCACGCGTCCTCGGTATGGATGAAATGCGAGTTCAACTCCTGTCTGAGGCCAAATTTTTGGCTACCACTTGATTCTCTTAAGTAAATTTTGAAAGAATTCTGTTTGGAAAGAATATTTGTTGATTATATGAACGGAATTCACCACTGCAAATTTCTCCGCTTGATTACGAAATACTTGAAATCTTGCTGAGTCAGCAGTCAAGGTTTGGAAAAAAAAGGAAAAGACGATGATTACGTGCTAAAATACGTGAATGGCTTTATATTAGTGCAGAAGAGAAAAAACATAGTATCGTGAGACAGCCGTGAGTACACTTCGAACGCCTCAAAGAGTCGATAGATTCATCATAAACCGATCAACGACGATCGAAACATTATCGATTTTCGCCTCGAAAATCTAACTCCACCCTTTTTTACGGACTTTTTAGCAAAAGAAAACAGAACATCAAAAGCACCTTGCCGGGATGACAAACGAGAATTTGTCTCAAATTCCATAAATTCATAGACAGGGCTAAATGGCAGGTAATCGGTAGATCACAGAAAATCCATATCACCCTGCAAAGCGATTTTCCTTAGGCGTCGGCATTTTCACTAACCATTTACTGTTCACAGTCTGTAGCACGAGGTTGTTATACTTACTAAGAATTACTACGAAATTATAGTCTACAAATATAATATTATCTACGAATGATTGGTCGGGCAAATGTGGCTAGGTGGTGTAGTGGTGGAGCACGCGTCCCCGGATAAGATGAAACGCGGGTTCGATTCTCGCCTGAGGCAATTTTCTGCTCACCACTCAATTCTCTTAGTTATATAAAAAATTACTATTTCTTAGTCCTGCCAAACTCATACTAGAATTGAATTAAAGGAAAAAAACACCCAAAATAAAGAAAAACTAAGCGGCATATCCTCGTTAGCTCTTCGCTGAGGACGCCAATACTATAAAAAAAGACACTAAGAAATAAAACCAAGACAACTGGAGTGAAGCGTCGTGGGAGGAATCGAACCATAAACCTACTACTTTCCAATGACCGACATTACTAACCGCTTGACACTCGCCAGCCACCATTTGAGCGTAGTGTGATTTGGCCCAGTTGTCTCGAAAAAGACAGTCATAAAATGGCCGTAGATAAGAGAAATTTTTCTAATAAAGGCTGAACATTCGCACCCAAATTCAGGATGCAGGGACCTTCAAAATCAATAGACCAAAAGAAAACTCCCAGCTTCAGGGACCAAGACCGCCAGCAGCAACCGGGCGGGGCGACAATCCAGGACGACGTCCAGACCAGCGCAGCATGCAAAATGATGACGTCACTGCACCCCCCAGGTTTTTAACGGAGCCGCGAGAATTCCAGAAATTTGAATTCGATTCGTGGCGGGACCCACGTGACGACAACGAGACAGCACACCTTTAATAAGAATAGGGAAACTCGTCCATCCAATGTCTGTACTGCGATAGTTGCAGCAGTCCTTCTCCCTCTATCACGCGATAGAAATGGTCCGAGTAGAATGACGATCTCTTTGAATATAAATGGATACTTCATTGATGTAGGAGCGCATGTGGCGCAGTGGTTAGAGGTGCTCTGCGTCGCACACGAGGTGGGTGGTTCAGTCTCGCTCATGGCTCACCAAGCCATTCATCCGTCCGCGGTCGGTAAATTGGTACCAGACTGGTCTCAGGCTTGTCTAGGCGGATAACCACCACTGACTAGGTACAGCGAGAGCCACCGCGAGTCGTTGTAAAGGCCGGATATCCCTCCAATCACCTTGAACGAAGTAAGAATTTGGAGACGAATGCGTGGCGCAGCTCTTAAGGATTGATCATCGCGGAGAGCTCTATCCTGAGCTGTGCTCATTTCTACCCCATTTCAGACACCAATGGCCCAGATAGTTTATTGATTGGTTGTGACGACGGGCCCTGAATTTGTCTACTAGGGATCATTCATCACGTAGATCATTGCTCACTTCTCATCTAACGGGGTTAAATGACAGTTCAAATCGAGTGTTATCTCTTATCCTACATCGTAAATTTTTGTGCATGGCCATTTCTTAGTCAAATCTAGGGGTATGCCCATTGATCTAGAGTCGTGCGCAAAACCTCGGCGCTGGGCGGAACTCGAACTCGCGCCTCACTTCATCCCGGAGCGCGTGCTCTAAGCCCTTGCACTACTGACTCCCGCTTTGCTCACCGCTCTTTCGACACTACATCTACGCTACGATCTAAGGGTAATTTGTGAATTCTGGATGTATTTCGACGCGTAATTTTAGCTCTATGGACAGATTTTTTGGACTTATACTCAAGATCGATGGATTTCTCGAGTTGAATATTCAGAAGTCAGGACAATACACGAGTGTCTGCTCTCTTCGATCAGCACCCCCCCCCCCTCTCTCTAGCTTTATTTTCCTCTCACCTTCCTGCTTTCGCTTTGATTTTCCCCTCCCTTTCCCCCTTCCCTTTCGATTCGATTTTCTCCGGCATATTTCTCGTACGAGTTTTCTGATTTTCTCGACATAATCCTGGCGATAATTGTCATCTTTTTTGAAAATCCATGTATTTCATTGATTTTCCTTTTCAATAAAGCTTCACTATATTGCTAGCCCGCTGCTGATTCACTACCTCAATTTTTGGTGCTTTTCCGTTATCCGGAAGCAAATGAATATTCGACCTCATTCGCTCGGCAGGAGCTTTTCATAAGAGTTTTTGCAATCATTGGAAAGCCCGAGTCTCTGGCTACAGGCCCACGTGGCCGGTTTTCGAAAAAGTCTCTTTATAACGCTGTAAAATTCAAAATAGAATTAAGTTACACATGGTCGCGCTTTTCTCTTTCGTATCTCGTCTATATTTCGCTGGACAAGACTCCTTAGAGTGCTAGTAGTCTTTCAATAGCACAACTCTCGACAAACTTACGCTATACGATGCATTGCATCACTAACCATTGCGCCATCCCGCCACTGATTGCAATAAATGTGGCTGTCATTGAAAATTATTGTAATCGTGTTTGCCAAAGGAAGCCTGTATCACCTGTCGTCCCGTTGATCGTCGAATGACTCGAGCGGGTACCAGCAACTCTTCCATTTTTCCCTATCGCGTGCAAGAGTAGCCCAGTGGGTCCTCCTCGCTCTAGGAATTCGCTGAGCATCATATCTTTCTTCCATCGCTTTCGTGAAGAAATCGGACCAACGGGTCAGTGGTCTTCCTTTAGAGCTCTTGACGTCCCGAGGAATCCAGTCGGTAAGGGCTCTCGTCCATCGGTTGTCGTTGAAGCGCATCACGTGTCCGGCCCACCTTATTTTCGATATCCTGGCGTGTAGAACGCGTCTGTGTTTTTCGATCTTTGACATAGGTCGGAACTTCGGATCCTTTGTCTCAGCGGATCAGCATCGACCTTTCGACTGCGCGTTCGACAACTCTAAGTGATCTTTCATCCTGTTTACGTAGCGACCAGATTTTTGCGCATACGTTAGGGCAGGGATAATTGTCGAGTCGAAAAGGTGGGCACGGAGTCGGATGTTCTTTGTCCTCTTCACTACATCTTCGACGCTCTTAAACGTTCCCCAAGCCGCTCGTTTCCTCCTGCTCAACTCTGGGGCTAGGTCGTTCATCCTGTTGATTTCATCACCTAAATAGACGTAACTGGAGAATTCGGAGATTTTCGTTCCGTTGAGCGTGAATGGGGCATTCGAAACCCATCCGTTCCTCATGAACATTGTTTTTGTTAGATTTAGTTGAAGACCAATCTTTCCACAGGCGTCATCGAAATCGGTCAGGAAGCCTGTAGAATATAAGAATTGGAACAGTACACACGAAAACTTCATTAGCCTGCGAACCATTTGAAAGCACTAAATATCGCTGACGCGATGTCGTAAGAGCGATATAAGATTGATCGATCATAGCCTCAGCGCACGTGGCCACCTCAGCCAGCGGCACGTGATTTAGCCAAAGACCCTTTGAATACTTTGAAGAGGGAGCTCTGTCCGGCGAGGTGTAAAAGGCAAATCTTTTCTTTCTCCTGCAGCGCTATCATTAAAATTTTTCTCTAAGAAGCGAACACATTTACGAGTTCTTCGAGACTTGTGCTATCTAAAAAGTGCTAGCACTCTGACGGAGGAAATTTGTCCAGCGAAATATAAGCGAGATAGAAAAAAACACGTGATCGTGTTAAACATAATTTTTATTTCGGATTTTACAGCGTTATAAAAGGGTTATTATAAAAGCCGACGAAGTGTGGCTCTAGCCAGAGATTCAAGCCTTCGAAAGGTTACTAACACTCCTATGAAAAATTCTTGTACCGCAAACGAGGTCAAATATTCATTTGTTCCCTTATGAGTGAAGAGTGTTTTTTGTCGGATTCAGTTGCCCAGCTTATAGGTGGTCTATTCCGATTCCGAAGCTCATGACTCCGACGGCAAATTCCTCTCCAGGCGTCGAGAAAATGGAGGTCGACGAGGCAGTGAAAGTCGAAGAGAAGGAGATACCCAAAGATCCAAATGCTATTGCAATCGAAAGTAAGCTTTTATGAGTCCTCCATCGCTTTGTTAACCCTTCGTTGACGGTGTCTATGGTTTTTGTGCACACGTAAACAGAAGTATTTTTTTTGCTGTGCGAAGCTTTTCCACTAGACTTCGAGTATACCCAACAACGTAGAATGATGTGCAAAACTTTTGCGTCAGGCAGGGCCCGAACCCGTATTTCATTCTATCCGGCATCGCGTGCTCTAACCCGTTACACTACTAACGCAGTTTTGCTCACCACTCTTTCTACGCTATAAGCAATCCATCTGTCAACAAACAACCGTCAATGGTTTGCCCCATGTGGCCGCTATCGACATTGAACTTAGTCACGCTGACAGATTTTGGGTATTGGATGGTCGAATAGAATTTCTTTTTTTTTTAATCGCTTTTATCGAAAGAGTGATGACAACATGGGCGTCAGTAGTACAACGGGTTAGAGCTGTTGCTCCCGGATAGAGTGAGGTGCGGGATCGTGTCCTGCCTGACGGAAAAGTTTTACACATAATTTTAAATCACTGGGTATGTCTATAACATCATATCTC